AAATCGTCGGGGAGGCCCTCCAGGTCGTCCAGGACATCTCCGAATCCGGAAGGGGCCGAGGGGGGCAGCCAGAAAACCCCCCATGATCAAAGCGGGCGCCCAGGGGAAGCCGCCCAGGCCGCCATCCCAGAGGAAGCCGCCCAGGCCGCCACGAGGAAAAGTCATCCGGGCCGCCCAGGAGCCATCCGTGCCATCTCCCATGAGGAGGGGCCATACGAGCCGCCCAGGCCGCTGCCTCCCCCACGAGCACCTCCGCAGTCAGACGATCCGGACAGTCAGACGATCCGGGCCGAGCGATTCGGGCCGAGCTGTCCACCCCAAGGGCCACCGGAAAAGCCACCTACAAGCCACCAACGGGACCGCCGAGGACGGAAGGCCGGGGAAGCCGAAGAGGCCGAAAAACGGTAACCAGTCGGCTCCACGTCCCCCGCGCCCCCATGCGTCCCGTATCTAGTCCTGGGGGGCTTACCGGGAGGGGGGGAGTCTCCGGACCTTTCAAGGAGTTTTCAAGGAGCTTTCCAAGCTCCCCCTTTAGCCATTTCGGGCTCCGCGTTTTCGGAGCTATTCACCGAAGACCGCCATCTCTCACGCATGCGCAGTCTAATACTGTATGGTATTTTTACAAGAACTTCTAATACTGGAAGATAAAGTTAGATCAGTACCCCAGAATACCCTTACAACTGATAGAATACCCACTGAAATATAAGAAACAGAAAAAGAATCAGTCAAGATTCTACCTAAACTATGGCAGTAAATCAGGAGGACACAATGGCCAACAGATTGGAAGAGATCAGTCTATATTCCAATACCAAAAAACCCGAGATTTAACAGAATGTACAAATTTCATACTATATCCTTAATTTCACATGCTATCAAATTAATGTTTAAAATAATCCAACACAGATTAGAGCCCTACATGGAAAAATAGATGTGAGATATTCAAACTGACTTTAGAAACGGCTGATAATCATTAGAGATTACTGCTAATGTATGATGGATAATTGAGAAAGTCAAAGAATACCAAAAAGAAATCAGTATGTGCTTCATTGACTACTGAAAACCTTTGATTGTGTTGATCATGTCAAGTTGTAGAAAAATGGTAATCTGAAAACATCTCATTGTCCTCATGAGAAACCACATTATGGACAGAGCATGATGAAGCAGATTAGCTTCAGTTTGACAAAGGAGTGAGATAAGGCTGTATACTCTCATCTTATTTATTTAAGGTACATACTGAATACAGTATATATTAAGAGAAGCTGGACTGGAAGAAGATGAATTGGAGGAAGGAACATGAGTAGCCTGTACTATCCTGATAACACTACTCTAGTAATAAAAATGCAAAAGATTGCAAGATCTAGTAAGAAAAGTCAAGGAAAAAAGTGAAAAAGTGACTAAAATTAAATACAAAGAAGACCAAACAAAAGAGGACAGGTATGACAGCCAGATGTAGAATAATTCTAAAAGATATTAAAGTAATATATGGTTTCTGTCTTTTATGATCAACCGTCAACCACAAAGGATCAAACATCAAGAAATATGCTGGGGGCTAGCACTTGGTAGAGCATCCATGAAGGCCTGTAAAACATATTTAGATACTGTGATGTGTCTATACCTATAAAGATCAAACTACGCAAGCTATAGTAATCCCTTTGATGGAAGCAAAAGCTGGATATTGAAGAAGTAGAAGAGTATTGAGGATTTTGAATTTTGGTGTTGGAGAAAATTGAGAATTCTGTGGCCAGGAAATAAGAAAACAAATGGATCATCAAACAATTCAACTCACAGACACAAAAGATTGGGCTCTACTTATCCTACTTTAGATTATTATGTGAAGACCTAATTCTCCAGAGAAGATGCTAATGTTGGGAAAGATGGAAGGACAACCAATACTAAGGTGGATGGACTCAGTTACAGTGGCCGTGGATGCCCTATTCAGAGACCTGACTGTCATGGAAGAAATCAACGTAGTTGCTAAGAGTTGACTCCAACTTGATGGCACATAATCAAGGTCACACAATCAACATGTTTGAATACTTTGTATGCATCCCTTACATTATATATAACTGTCTATGTTTAACAATCAGTGATAAAGGCTTAAAACAATAATAGGAAGATTTTTCAATATAGAAATGCTACTACTGTTTGGATCCTACTGCTTCAACCTTGCTGAAATAATAGTGACTTTATTACAAGCATTTCATAAATGGTCTGAGTTTTAATGGTTTCTGCATTTTATTTCATCATATGAACAATAGCTTCACTCAAAATTAAAGCATCCTGAAGATTCCCCTCTTTTCTCTGTGGTCATTATCAGTCAGGGATGGTGCCAGTGGAGAAGTCCAGGCCTAGGCCCCTATTATATGGGTTGCCTCAAGGCTCCCTCTCCTCATACTTAACATCTATATACTGTATAGCCATTGGGAGAGGTCATCTACCAGCATAATATTCAGTATCATCAGTATACATCTCTACTGCACACCAAGTAAGTGATGCCATTCAAATGCTGACTCAGTGCCTAGAGGCTACAAGGACCTGAATGGGGAGAAACTCAACCCTAGCAAATGCAATGGTTGTGTTTTTTAAACCCTCCTGGGTCAGAAACATTGGCTCACTCTAGATAGGGAAATGCTCTTCTGTACAAATCAGGTGCACAATTTGGGGGTCCTCTTGGACTCATTGGTCCTGCTGGAAGAGGAGGTGGCAGCCATGGTCAAGGGAAGTCTTTGCATAAATCCACCAATTTTGCCCATTCCTGGACTGAAACGCCTTGCTCAGTCATCTGGGTTTAGTCACCTCCCACTTGATTACTGCAATTTGCTCTACACAGGCTGTCCTGGAAGACCACCTGTAAGCTGCAACTGGTACAGAATGCAGCAAAGTTGGGTATCCTGTGGTTCATCTGAGCAACACCATTTATTTTATTTATTTATTTATTTATTTTATTTAATTTATATGCCGCCCTTCTCCCGACAGGGACTCAGGGCGGCGCACAACATATTTAAAACCATTGCTGTGCGAGCTGAACAGGTTTCTAATTGCTGTGTGCAATTCAAGATGCTACATGACACAGGCAGGCTTGTGGGAACATCTGTCCCTGAGGATATATGCCCATTTTACTAGGGTAGTGTGTGCACTCCCCTTGCTTAAATATTGCCATCTAATAGGACCTTAAAAATGTTCCTTCTCAGTGGTCACCCTAGTCCTTTGATGTAGCCTCCCACTGGAGATCAGAGGGACCCCTACCCTTTTTGCCTTCCAGAGGGTGGTGAATACCTGGCTCTTCCCTTGAACATTGGGCTAAGATAGTTTAGCTGTGAGGTTATTTGTTCTGTCACTGGGGGAAAGGTATGTTTTTAATTATGGTTTGTTCATGGATTGTTGGTGAGCTGTCTAGAGTCACTGTATGTGATAAGTCACCATATAAGTCCTGTAAATTAATAATAACTGGACCATCATATTAACAAAATACAAGGGTTTTCCTAATGAATAGAACATATTTATCTCAGACATTACAATTATTCCACATTAACCAACAAGAGTACCCAGTATTTTGAAAAACTGTATTCACTTTAATGAATTTAGTAACATCAAATCAAAAATACAAAAATTATGAAAAAGTCACAAGTCTGTACATTATTGTGGACCATGTGAAAACTGGCTAGAAAATATCCTTTAATCCTAGCCTACATGTTTGTAGTAGATAGAGGATAGGTATTACCATGCATTTGTGAGCATTAACTTAAATAGGAAGAAATAAAGAAATATGTGCACTGTATAATAATACACAAAAAGTATGTAAGTATATGACATGAAACACTGTCATCAACAAAATCATAAATGCCTATAAACTGATTTTCAGTTTCCTAACAGTTTTGGCTTGTTCATTTTTTTTAAATTACTTTAAATAGTAGTACAAATTTAAATATTTAAAAATATTTTCTCTATGACAACCATTTATTGGAAGACAGGTTGAGTTTCCTTTTAACCATATATTATTAAAGGAAAAAGAAAATTATACTGTGTTTTGGTGGAGCAGGCTGTACAACCCAGTTGTTTTTCTGTTAAAACAAGCAATATCTGGATTCAAAAACATCGGGTAATTCACATTTTCAGAATTCAGAACATAAAACAGTGATTGCTGAAATGTCAAGAAAATGATGTAATAGTTTTTATACAGAACATCAATTAATTTGTTTTCTCTCATTGCAACCATATGCTTAATTATTTTGGAGGGCAAATTCAAATGTTACAGTTTAACAAACTGTGAAATTAGGATATTATGTACTTTTGAGAAAATTAACTATTTTGAGCTTGCACAATACTTAACATTATTAGATCCTCAGCTTAAACAGAAAAACTGTCTTTAAAAAGATTAATTTGGAATCAAGCCCCAGTGATTTCAATGTTTAAGTGAGGCCCTATTAGATATTTTACTTTTGTGACTGTGCTATTTCTCTAAAAGAAGGAATGTTGAACTTTTTTTCAGAATAAGGATTGTACTTAAGCGTTAAGTTTCTAAGTAATATGCTTCAAATATAGATGCAATAAAAATAAAATGACCTTGCAAAAATTAAATTTGAATAATTGAATGAAAATAAAATTTATTGTTGCTACATATTTGCCCTTTCGTTTGCTGATATCCTAAATTGTTGTACTTTTTGAATACCACCAGAAAACAAACACTGTGGTGTCTGGCAGGTTTTTATATATTTCAGTGAATACTGGAGTTCCCATTACATTTATTACGATTTTCAACAAAAAGTTCAGTGACTGCGAGTGATAGTACCTAAAACATTTTTTGGTCCTCACCACAAATTTATTCCTAAAATATGACACCACCCAGGGCAATAAGTGTCTTTCAAAATGCATTTTCTTTTCCATGACAAAACCCAACAGACCTCATAAATAATTTGCATAAATTAATTTATAACAATCTCCTCAAATATTGTATGGTCTCTGTGTGAAACACTGGGGTCGTTTAAATTTATTTCCTTTATTTATTTATTAAAACACTAAAACTTGTATATTTACTTCCATAATCCTGAGAAGCTCTTCCCCATCTTTTGACAATTGCCACCTAAGATTAAAACAGAAAACTGACACAGCAGTATAGTTATGTATAGGTTAACTAATAGTAAGTTCCATTGGTTTAATGAAGTTGAAGAGACTGTTGTAAGACTGCAGTCTGAAATTAGAATTTGAAAGCCTTTTTATTTCATTGAATGGATACAAATTTCAAAGTTGGTTTAAGAATTGATAGTGAGAAGTTGAAATGGACAGGCCTTTGAAATATTTTTTAAAAATCACATTTTTAAAGTTTTATCAACTAAGTGCCTTGTGTTAATTGCTAATTTAGAATAGGTTATAATTGATGAACCAGTCATACTCCACTTACATCTTCTATTCATAGGCCTTTTTCAAGGTATGTTTTAAATTGGTGGTAGAAGAGCTATTTTTGGATTACATTTATAAACCTTCAATTGAATTTTTTTCTGGCGTTTTAGAAATTAATATGGAAACTATATCTTCTTTAAATACCCATCCCAAATAAGTAGGCTATTGCATCTATAGCAGAAAAAAAGGTTCCATTTTTTAAAATGCAGAACAGTATTCTTATATTGCTGTCCTACTGATTTAATAAAAAAAAAAGTCCTTTAAATAAACGGGGCTTGTATCCAGATGAATATAAGATTAGATTTTAAGGTAAGAATGAAGTATATCTATTTCCAGTAAATGTGCATATGCTAATTTCCCACATTCAAGCAGTACCGGTTTATTGCTTATAACCAGATGCATTTCACAAATTGTTCTTAAGCAAGAAATCAAGATTTAGTCAATAATATATAATTATGTATTTTTAACTTTTCCATAGGATCAATGGAAATATATTTGGACTGAATTAACACATTGTGCTAGGCCATAATATAATTTTCTTTGTTTCAGCTTAATCAGATCTAGAATCTAACATGTAAACCATGGTTTGTGGGTTATTTCTGTGTAAACACAGCTACTATCACTTATGGAACAAAATCATAGCTAAAACAAACCATATCTTAGCACAAGGCATTAACTCAAGTTTCATAGCCATAGTATCACAACTTGACTTTTTCAATTTAAGTCCAATTACCAATTTCTATCAATATTTTGACTGAACCCATCAGAGGAATGAAATGAGAAGTACTACTTCCAATAACATTAAAACATATTTGGAAAATACACTGGTTGTCCAACATAAGATACAAATTAAGATAAAATGCTGCCTTTCGATATTTTGAAATCCTAGTTTAATTGCTCATGAACACAGCCCTTCATTGTATTTTACATATCTAAGGTGCATGAACACATGTATAACTAAAGAAAATACATCATGCTACATATAATAATATCCTGATTGGCTAGTGAATGAGGAAACCTGTTTTCTTGGCTGAAATTAAGGCACTAGGTGGCAGTGACAGGAGAAATGAATTGTTTTAATATATTATTTGATGGACGTACAGGATCTTCAATTTCACAAAATCTAAATAACAAGTCCTGCACATATTGAATCAATGGCTGAGGTAAGGCATTCTGTTAGCAAATTTTAAAAAAAAATTCCTATTGATGCAAGTATAGCCCATTTGTAACTTAAGTGGGACTACTGATTCTGACTGAAAAATAATTAATCAGAGAAAGTCATTTACAAAAGATGCCTGAGACTCTGAAAAGGCACCAAGAAACAAACAGTTCTGCCATTACCAATTCTAAATAACAAAAATAAAAAAGTCAATTGTTTTCAACACTGCATATAGCCTGGTCAATTGCTAATTCTCACTTTACTGAGGACCAATGTAGTAGCTGTTTATTGAAATGTTCTATTAATCAAGCAATTTTAAGACAAAAATCATCTTTCATTTATCAGAAAATAAGCTGCAATCTGTCAATATAACCATACATAAAGCAAACTTATGAAGTCTAATATGTCTCATTCATGGTTAACACTGAAGCAAACCTGTATAAACAAAGATAATCTCAAGATACATAGTTTACAAAATGAAATTAATATATAAAATGAACAAGAAAACAATTGGAAATGTATTACAAGGGTACATGAAATGATTTTAAGCCACAATACTTTTTCCTCTGAAAAATACAACTATTTGTGGGATAAAATGTACAATTGATTTCTTTCCAAAAGGGAAAAATAAAGGACACAAATGTAAAGGAAAAATATGTCTTTCTTCAAGACCCAGGGAAAATAATTAATTAATTGTTTTTATTATAATATAATCTGTCACAAAATAGCAGTCATAGGATTGCACCAAATCCATGTTGAATTTCCTGAACATAACATCAGTAATTGGAGTTCATAAAGGAGAATGGTATTCTTGAATGTGGATGGAGATTATTCATACAGTCATTCTTGTCCTATTAGATTTCTCTGCAAAATGTTCGAGACTCTACTTGATTGGTCACAGTTACCACCACTGTGACTCTTCCTAGTGTTCAGAGTAAAAAAAAAATGGCATGATATTTAAAAAGTTATTTTAATCATAGCCAAAATATATATTTAAGTACATGCTTTGATCATTTGTCAAAAATAAACCTAAGTTATTTCAAAACAAGTGTTTACAAAATAGGAAAAAAATATTCTCCAAGTTAAAAATGCAGGTTTGTTTGTAGTTCCATTTGCTTGGCAGCATATATATTTTTTTCTTATTAGAATCCAAGGAACCCAGAATACCATGATTTCTTTTGACCTAGAATAAAGCTTGGCATGACCAGCCTATCAGCCTATTCTTTTATTTTGATGAGTAGAACAGAAGAAAAAAAAAGTCACATTTGGATCAGTATTTGTTAGGAACATTTCTGCTGAACGTGATTCAAAAGTTCACCAAACTTCTCAAAGAGATCTTCTATCCATTTTATATTTTTCATGCACTGCTGTACTATTTCCTCTTGACCTAGATCTGCATTCTTTTTTTGAACGGAAGAAATCTATTGAGAGAACAAATTAAATGTCACATAGTTAGCTTTCTATTATTTCTCCTAGTCTAATACTTTAACAATATAACGATATATGCATGCATTCTCCCAGTGTCTGTGAGAGTATATTGCACTTACTATAGTGACAGAGGTAACCTCAATATAAATGAAGTTCAGGGTTATTCAATAATCTCCTAAGTATGCTTCCTGATGTTCTAATGGGTTATTACAATACTTGGTGTGGTAGAATCCCCAATATTTTTAATGGATCTTGTTAGATCACAACTCTCATTAACTCCAACTGTAAACTCCTGAAGCGTCAATAGATATTAAAAAACAAACTCTTTTCTTTTCTGCTAAATTTCAGTTCCAGTTCAGGTTTACACATTATCCAGAATTGTTCAAAATAGTGAACACATAGGAATCAACAAGATCATCAGTAATATCTTTCAGTTTTCTAAGATTTAATCCACCTGGCCCCAGAGATCTGCATTCATTCAGGTTTAGTAAATATTATGTATCTCATGTTCCCATGACATACGACACTTTTACAATCGTGTGTGCGTCTTTGAATCAGTATTTGATTCCTGGCAACTGCCTGGACTTGTCTTAGCAGTTTTCTTGGGCAATGTCAGAAATGGTTTGACATTGCCCCCTTTCCAGGGCTGAGATATAGTAATTGACCCAAGGTACCCAGTCCTTTGTACCTAAGATGGGACTAGAACTCAAGAGTTTTATGATTTTTAGCCTTGTGTCTTAACTACTACACCAAACTAACTCTTTTTTTGCAACCTGTAAAACTTGATTCATTAAATACAAAACTGTTCAATATCTTCTAAAAATAGTGAATTGTCATCTGATTTTTAATTGAGTCTGGTGTATTTAGATTCTACTGCACTAATGAATACAATGAATAATAACAAACTAGAGAAAGACTCACCTCTACTTTACATCTGAGAAACATGTGATATTTGTAATGATGGAGTGAATGATACAAAGAACACAAAGGAATTTTTTCTGGATCCACAGTAAATTCCTGCAGAAACAAATATTTATTAACCACACTAGTAACTAAGTTTCTTGATACCAATAATTATTTGAAGATATAAAAATTTACTCATAGCTATGCACAGTGGTGGGATTCAAATATGTGAACAACCGGTTCTCTGTGTGGATGCAGCTTCCGGAAGTCCATTCTGCGCCTGGGCAACAAAAAAGTAGCTACCGGTTCTGCCGAAGTGATGCAAACCGGCTGAATCCCACCACTGGCTATGCATAAAATCATACACAAAAACAGAAGGAAGTTTATTTTATGCATGTATATTTTGTTTCTTATGTAATATTATTTCATGTAAGGCTGTAAATAATTTTGATTGTTAAGAAAATTTGAGTTGGAAGTACGTTTCCACTTGTGGGAAGGAAGGAAGATGATAAGAAATCAGAGAACTGTCACTTCTAATGACATGAAAGAGAGAGCATGTGCCTTGGATTCTAAGAGAAGTAACAGTACCCTTACTTTACTACTTGTATACTAGCAATTTTGAGTCCTGGTTTTTTTCCCTCTGATTTTCAGAATGCTATTTTTAAGGGTAAATAAATCATTTCTCTCCATTAACCAGATTTTTGTTTTCTAATATTATAGCTACAAAACAGCCAGTTTAATGATTGTTTTGGTGTAATGGTTGACTTGCTAGTCTAGAAATAGGAGAGTAAGTTCTAGGCCTTCCTTAGCAATGAAAGCCAGCTGAGTGACCTTGGGCTAGATCAGGCATGTCAAACTCGCAACATCACATGACGTCACGTGACATATTGGGACTTTTTTCCCATTGCTGCCAATGGGGTGGGCGCAGTTTCGGTGTGACGCATCTGGCCCAGGGGCCGGCAGTTTGACATGCCTGAGCTAGACACACTCTCTTTAGTTCAAACCATCTCACAGGAAAAGGGAAAAATAGGAAGAGGAACAAGTATTAAGCACCTGCATTGAGTTCACTAATTTTATTTTTTTTGAAGGTGGGATAAAAATCTAATAATAATAAAATACATGGTTCTTGATTTCCATATTTATTTTTCATTTGAAGTAACAGCTGTATTAAATTATAGGAAAATGTTTTTCTGTATATAACCAGGTGTAATGTAATGCTATGATAAAAATCTGGCTCCTTTTGCCTTGTTCTTCTATGACTGGAGTTGTCTTTATGCACTTTATTGGATTTTATGCATTCTATGTGTTCTTGTTAAACCAGAAGTCTTCATTTTGTGATAGTGTAATTAACATGAATTTGGGCAAACTCCAACAGAGGGTGCAGGATGTGGGGTCTGGCCTGCTATGGTCTATGGAGTTGGATACAATTTAGCAACTGAACATCGGTTTAAAGTTTCAGATATGGAATTGATCTTTCTTACCAAATATGAGTTTATTAAAGAAAGTTCTCCTATGATTTATAGAGCAATTTTGCTGTGTGTGTGTGTGTGTAGGGGGATACCTTTGAGTTGGTGTTGATTCCTGAACAGGTCCCTGAAAGTTTACTTGGAAAGATTTCAGAAATGGTTTACTACTGCCTCTTTCCTAGGACAGAGAGAGAGTAATTGGCCCAAAGTCACCCAGCTGCTTTCGTGGCTAAGATGGGACTAGAACTGATAGTTTTCCCATTTCTAGCCTGATGCACTATCCACTCTGGATTTAACACAAGAGATTAAAAGATGTAGCATGGTTGCTTATTGTATCAACTAACATCTACACATTTACCATTTTCAAGTGAAAATTATGGTGGCAGGAGTCTTTACAGTTGTAAATACAAATAGGCTGAAAGTGTATAGGCTGAAAGTGTCCAGGTAAAGGCAGTCATAGAGATAGGAAAAAATGTAGATGTAATAGTCTAAGGTGTTTTTATAACTTGTAAGGAAGGACCTTTACAGAGGAATTCTATTCGTGTTTACTTATTAGGTATACTGGCCGTCCTCCCAGGTACCTGGAAGTTGAGTCATGGCAACTGCACTCCTTTTTCTTGTTGGTTTGAAACAGTTCACTGCTTATACCAGTAGTTTCTTCAGACTGAGCAAGTTAGGGGGACCCCATATATGTCCTCCAGGGTGGTTTCATTTTCACCTTATCTGAATTCAAGGTTTTTTTTAAAAAAAATTGCTGTCTTGTAATTTAGTTTTTTACTGCTTAAAAATGCACTCAAGGTAATCAAGGAAAGTTTGAGATCAACATTCCATCAGAAATAAGGCAGAAACAAATATTGTATGAACATACCTGTGCTAATTTTGTGGCTGCTTTAGAAATTTTCAGTGTTTTCTTATTATAAGCTTTCCCATTCATCTTGACTCTAGAAACTGCATTCGTTCCCATTTTTGTTTTAGAATCTCGAGTTATTACTGTCAGTTCAGGAAAACATTCCAAAGCGGCCTTAAAAAGAAGTTATAAAAGCTGGAGATTAGCGAATAAACAGAATGATAAAGCATGCCTTATTAATGTGATAAGAATTTAAACTAGGATCCTTTTTTTAAAAAAAAGAAAAAAGAAAAAATCTGTTGTGAATATGCAGGCTGCAAACAGTATGACTTTCACAACTGGCCAGTCTACATGCCAGGCAGGCTTAAAGAAAATCCACACCCAAAATGAAGCATGTCTTTTGGTCAGAGTCGGATTACCCCAATCTTTCTATTTACAGAAGAGATTTTGGAGCCATTTTAAAATCAATGAGCAGAACCCGCGGAGACATCTTCAGCAGATATGGCACAGAGGGACTGAAGAAAAGTAGGGGGTTCACCAATAACTCAATATCTCTACTGAAACTAGAAGAAGAAATCCAAGAAAATGAAGCAGAGAATACATTGTTTTGAAACTTCTTATTTCTACTTTTTGCAGTAGAATTATAGGGAGTTCTTGGCTTATGACCACAATTGAGCCCAAAATTTATTTTGCTCAGTGAGACATTTGTTAAGTGAATTTTGCCCTATTTTACGACCTTTCCTGCCACAGTTGTTAAGTGAATCACTGCAGTTGTGGATTTAGTAACACAGTTGTTAAGTGAATCTGGTTTCCCTATTGACTTTGCTTGTCAGAAGGTCGCAAAAGGTGTTCACATGATCCGGGGACACTGCAACCGTCATAAATATGAGTCAGTTGCCAAGTATCTGAATTTTGATCACATGACCATGGGGATGTTGCAATGGTCGTGTGAAAAACAGTCACAAGTCACTTTTTTCAGTGCCGTTGTGACTTCAAATAGTCACTAAACAAACTGTTGTAAGTCGAAGACTACTTATAAATACCAGTCTATCCAGGAACCTGGTTTTTTCCCTGTCTTTTTTCCTGTGTGGTGCTTGTCAATCAAATCTTATTCTTTTATTTTCTCAAATTAGTTCAGAAGTGTGTGTAATCTCAGATGTTATATTACTGTTGCAGACTATGCAAGAAGAAATAATACAGGTAGTCCTCGATTTACAACAGTTTATTTAGTGACCGTTCAAAGTTACAATGGCACTGAAAAAAATGACTTATGACTGCTTTTCACACTTATGACCGTTGCAGCATCCCCAGGGTCACATGATCAAAATTCAGACACTTGGCAACTGACTTGTATTTATGATGATATTGCAGTGTCCCGGGATCATGTGATCACCTTTTATGACCTTCTGGCAAGCAAAGTCAATGGGGAAGCCAGATTCACGTAACAACCCTGTTACTAATGTAACAACTGCAGTGATTCATTTAACAACTGTGGCAGGAAAGGTCGTAGAATGAGGCAAAATTCACCTAACTGTCTCGCTTAGCAAATTTTGGGCTCAATTGTGGTCATAAGTCGAGGACTATCTGTACTGTCTTCCTATTGTTCTTGTAATTTATAATATAAATTGGATTTATTTATTTTTTTGCTAGCTTTTCTTTTGAGATACTGGCTGAATTGCTCTATTTGTAAACAGAGCAGTGCCATCTTGTGGTCTGTATTTTCTTTTGAAATTATTTTCTGAAACAGCTCATTATTGTCCAGTCAGCTCTGGAATTTTTTCTTTCTAAATGTTTAAATAAAGTTTGATGTTGTTTTTCCCTTGTGACATCTCCCCAAAAGGAAAGTAGAACTGAATATGTTACTCATACACTTCGATGTTTCGTGGCCAAGAGATTGCCCTAATGACATTATTTCATTTTTTTGCATTTTTAATTGTCATGAAGGAAGCACTGGTTATAAAAACTCTCTCTAACATACCAATATTACAGGATGGTTTTCATATAAGATGCCACTTGAAAAATAGTAGGTGGCAGCAGGAACTATCAAACCACTACTCCAAAGCAAGAGGCAGGGCCAAAAGTGAAGATCCAAAGGCCAAAGGTGAAGATTTATGGAAGAGAAGGTTAATCTCTTTTATGAACTCAACTATCCATTATAAATACAGTATAAAAGCAAAGTAAAAATGCTGTTAGCCAGTTCCTGAACATTTTCTGGAAGCAACTCTGTTTCAAATGCAATTATAGATTTATATTCTACTTACTGACCTATAAAAATGTTGTGTTCATTTGAAAATAGAGACTTTTTCAAAGGGAGTAGCAAATCAGAAATATAGAATAAATGAAACTTTAATTTTGGATTTTGCTAGATGAGTTTGTTGTTACAGAAATGGCCAGTGTATATTATCAAAGTAAAACGTTGAGGTTTTATGTTACTACCTTATTCTACTGCACCAAAAGGAGTCGTAACTCAATGCTTTTCTTTTTCCCTTTACTTTACCCTTTTCTCTCTTCCCCCTTTCTTCCCTTATTTTCCCATTACTAAGAGCTGTAGTGGCAGAGTGGTTAGAATAAAAAGGCTAACTCTGCTGACTGCCAGCAGTTCGATCCTGATTGGCTCAAGGTTGACTCAGCCTTCCATCCTTCCAAGGTCAGTAAAATGAGATCCTAGATCAGGGGTAGGCAATCTTGGCTCTTTTATGACTCGTGGACTCCCAGGGATTCTGGGAGTTGAAGTCCAAGAGTCATAAACGAGCCAAGGTTGCCTACCCCTGTCCTAAATTGTAGGGGGGGCCTGACTCTGTAAACTGCATAGAGAGGGCTGAAAACAATATGAAGCAGTATATAAGTCTAAGGGCTTTTCATTTTTCTTTGTATTTCTGTATTTTACATTTTGATAAATATACCAAAATATATAGAAACAGAAACCTGAAAAAGACATATAGAACAAAGAAAAGATCAGGAAAAATAAAGAACTGAAATTTATAAAAGGGCTTATCTGCTTTGCCCCACTAATTTTCAATTTCTATAAAAACCAATGAAAGAGTAGCAAACTACGAATAAAATATAATTTTCAGTACCTTGAATGGTCGCTCCACATGTAATTTGGAAAGCAGCCTTTTTCTATTGTCATTCAGCATGCCATCAATTTTTCTCATATGAGGCAAAAGCAGCTCATCTAAAAAAGGAGACACAATAAACGCCTTTTACTGAATGTGTTGTTTCATGGCTCTATGATTATTCAAATAAGTTAAAATAATTAATAAATGCTCATTTATTTATTCACTATATTAGCGAACAATCATGAAAACAGCAGCAGTTCGGCCCCAAATATATACAGTATTTCAGCATAGAATATTTTTTAAATGTTACGTTTGATATTTGTGGACAGGATTTCAATGTGATATCATAAAACTGAGTCATTATTTTAATTCAATATACAGACAATGCGAATAGATTTTTTACAAAGTTATTTTTACTGCAGATATATTGCATCAATTGCAGACTGCCTCATGCTGTCTGGGCCAGCAAATAGATTTCCAACAGATACTTGTACTGGCATGCTCATATAGTCACCAGAGATAAATTCAACTTAGAGATTTACTTTTATTTTATTAATGTATAATCAACCTACTTACACCATACCAAACCAAAGGGAACAATTTAGTACAGGACAAGAAATACTATAAACACAATAAAATATGCCACCTTCCTTAAGTTGAACCTATTCCTTGGTGACCATATAGAGATATTATTAACAACAATATGGAAGTGGTCCTCTTCTGATAAGTTGTTTCAGCTTCCCACCTGAAGCTCACAATCCTGATACTTTCAGATGGCCTGAATGCAAGTACTAACCAGGCTCAATTCTGATATGAACCAAGGCTGGCTAGGTTCTGACAACTGCTGCAGCTTCATTGGAAAATAACTGAGTTACCTGCTAGTTTGACCAAAATTTTCTTGGGACCTCAAATGTAAATGATTAACACAGAAAATAAAAGCAAAACCTCCCTTATAGATTATTTTCTAGGTACTTTATGAATAATGAACTCTGCCCTAAATCCCTAACATTTACTTTCATAAACTTTAAAACAGACCTGGACATTTTATGGCCACCATTTTTTGGCTATCGCTGTCCAGCCCATGTGAGGGGCAATTAGAAATTAGAAATCAAATGTAAATAAGTGTATACCGTGCCTGCAATATAACCACATTGCTTTTATTTTGAAGGTGATTGCTACTCGTATTTTTTTCAATTTATGAATGTAGGTGCATGCGTGCCTATGTTTCTTCACAGCCTTATTGGTTTGGCCCTCCACAACAGTCCCTATTTCTCATGTGACCCCTTAGTAAAATTAATTGCCCACCCCTGCTTTAAAGGAATACCCAAACAAGCACTTTGAAGAAAATCTTAATAACAGCAACCATTTGTCTATGAAACCATAATGAATCTAGAGTACTCAACAAGCCAAGTATTTTTTTCACACACTGCATCAGCAGATATATGGTCCAACAATATTTTCAAGGAAGAGCTCAATATAGAACAAAGAAGTTCTAATGACTTCATTTTATTAGCTATTCTTATCAGAAATTTTAATATACTACGTATATTTTTCCTATTCTCATCTGCTGAATAGTTCTATTAAAACCCTAGTTTCCTGACTTATGCATGCATATTGCTCATGACTTTCAATGAAAATACATAAGCCTGCAAAGTTTAATTTGTGTTAAGAGTAACAGGAACTGATTTGTATTAACCCAAAGATGCTTTTTCACAAGGCAATTGGACTTTCTTGTTTTTTCTTTTTCTTTGAAGACATTTCTGATTTGGATTAACTTGACTAAGAGTTTTTAGATTTATGCAGGGCTTTGTACTGAGAACTTAAATAGTAGTTCAATATCAACGCAGACTCCTTCTTAAAGAAATGTTTTCCCCCTAGACCTACTGAAGCTTCTGAACAAGAGACAAAATTTGGTAAACAATTAAAAACAAACAAACAAGAGATTTAATAAACTGTACCATTACTCTTCTCCAATGCCAGCATGGTATCTGGATCCAAGGCAATGCTGACAAGCAGTTCCATATAATTCCTAAATGTTTCCTTCATAGCTCTGGTATTTAAAAACCGAGAAACAATAGGTGCTGGTGGTTCAGTGTCTGGAATATCAAATATATAAATATATTGCTTAATCGTGTTGTAATTTTTTCATTAGTCTGATTATTGCTTTAGTGACTCTGCAGGGAGTTCATTCTTATTCTAGTTATGACTGAGCTATGATACTTATATTCACACTGATATTTTATACTTCATGTGGATACCATTATGGCCACTGGTTATATATTTTATTAATTCTATTTTATCTCACACATTTTATTATATTTTAGATTATACTGAAGACATTTTAATATTACACTCAGCCTGGAAATATATGGCTTATCAGACAGCATACAAATATTTTAAATAAATACATCGGAAAGTTAATTTCAGCATGAGCCAACCACAGAAACTAATGAGTTAATTTTAAATTACTATATGATTTTTCATTTATTTTTATGCTACTATTACATTTTCTACTATATAAAAAAGTTGTCCTGCTATAACATTTTCCTCCTTTATAAAAAAGTATTTACTTTGGTTGGGAATTTAGACCAGCAGTTACCCAATAACTAAAAGCTATGCTGTTAATACTGATGAAACCTAATTATTATCCACACTAATGTCTTCTGAGACCAATGATTTATGTTTAACTAATCTTAATAGTAGACACTGCTGTTTGGGACATGTTCTGAAACACAAATTAAGAATTTGTATGACTTTTTCAATGGTTTCCTGTGCAGATATGTTGTTGCATTTACTAAATATTGAAAAGAACCAGAGTCCTGCAATGAATATAGCCTTCAGGCTCTGTATTGAATATGACCTCAGAAGAGACTTCCTGATATATCTACAGCAGCAAGCATATAGGCGCTCCATGCCATTGGGCTTCTTGGAGAGTGGGCAGCTCCATATTTTTGCAGTCATTGGGATCAACAAGCAAATAACTAGAAATGCTGGAGCTACTGACATTGGGAACATGCTAGGGAACCCCCTCTCCCACTTCTATATGTAGAAAAAAAGGCACAAATGCCAGATATAAATTGGGGTTCTTCATATTATATTAATTAATGTGTAAAATTAAAATAGAATATTCAAAATACGCCTCCTTATACAATGTGATTAATAAATGTGTCAATAAAACAATGGAAATTATATAAAATCCCAGATCTTCATAATTTCTTCTGTTATAGGGATGCTTACCTTCCTCATCACTCTGCAGCTGAGGAGTAGAGGGCGATTCTTCTTTCCATGTTTTGCGTTTTTTGGGTGGTGGTTCAGCCTTTGCCTTTGGCTGTTTTGCTTTGAGTTTCATTGAAGTAACTTTTGTTGTAACAGTTTTTGGCACTGGGGGATCAGGAACTTTAGGGATGCTCATGCTCGGTTTACAGTGAGCAATTCTATAAGTTTGAATAATTCAAAGAAACGGTTACAAACAGCGTTTATAAATCAAATTGATACAACTTAGCCAATTAGTTTTCTTCTTGAGTTAGTTTTCTTCTTATAGATTTCCACACTTCATTCATTTCTACATTAATTGTTTAAACATCTAATTACAGGGTCTAGACAATGTTAGATATAAGCCTTAAATCTTCATGCCTCTATTAACCAAAGAGTATCTCTAAACATAAATAGATAAAAACATACTCCTAGTAAGGAAAGTCTTTAGCTTAGAGTAAACAAAATTGTTTAAAAGAGAACAGGAAGAAATTGGTAAAAATATTGGTTTGTAGAATATTGGCTAGAACACATGTATGCCTGAAAATGATATCAATTAAAGGACAGTATAGAATTGATTTGATCAAAATGATGATCCTCTTAAAAATACCATTCACAAACTTGTTGGGACTATAGTTCCCATAAAGTTTTTTTTTAAAGTATAGTCAATAGCTGATGGGAATGTTGTTTCAACATCTCTGAAAAGCAGGTTAGAAAAAAATGTTTAACCCGTAAGTTAAGTTTGAGGATTGTATGTTTACCTTCTCTATCCTTGGCAAGCAAATGGAGTAAAAACTTTTACTTTCACATTTGATTAAACTTTGATTCCTGAAACTTACACACAGTACAAAACTGGTTAAGTGAAAATTTCAAGCTCCTTTCAGATTTATGGCTTATTACAGCTCTTCATAATCTAAATGAAGGTAGGTTTCTTTCTGAAACTATTCTAGAGCATAAAATACCAACAACTATTTTAGATGGTAAAATTTCAAAATAATATCTATGAAACGTGCCTTTAAAAAAATTAAAAGTAGTAATAACCCCTTCCCCGTTAAATACAATTAAAAGACACATGAAGGATACAAGAAAATGGATTAAAATAAAATACCTTGCAGAGTGTACAAGTGAATTTTTTGGCTTCTTGGAACATACTCTGACATACTCTTTTTTGTTTGCATTTTCTATGAACTTCACATATACTCGTTTATACTTCAATTTTGCATCTCCAAAGTACCCAAGATACTAAAAGGAAAAAGAGACATATATTATGCTTACTTTGTAAGTGATTTATAAACTTGTAAGAAATTCAGAAAACACGAAAAGTGGATGGGTCTGGGATATAACCCCAGGTTAATTTAAATGTTATCAATGATTAGCTGTGTGCCAAGTAGCTTGCATGCTCATAAAGTCTACAAGAAATACTTTGAGACTTCTTAAACACTTTGCTGAGAGTTTCTTTCACCAGAAGAAGCTTCTGTTGGAAGCACCAGAAAAGACTTTTGCACTTGTTTAACTCCTGCACACAAGTCTCTTCTGGCTAATGGAACAACTGGAGGGAAAATGGCAGCAATTCAGCCAGGATACAGCACGGAAACGGCATTGGTCACATTGGTGAATGATCTCTGGAGGGCCCGGGACAGGGGTCATTCCTCTGTCCTAGTTCTTTTGGACCTCTCAGCGGCTTTTGATACTGTGGACCACGGTATCATGCTGCGGCGCCTGGTGGAGTTGGGAGTGGGAGGCACCGTTATGCGGTGGTTCTCCTCCTTCCTC